TTTTCTCAGAGATGGGTATTCCGTTGCCATTCATATATTGTAGGTACATTAATTCCACAAAGTAATCCAATATAGTCCAGTAGTCTGTAATAGTACTGGGTTATCCACATGACTGGCAATGTCAAAAGTTGTTGACTTGAACCTTTTACAGCATATTAATATGGCTTTACTTTTTATACTTTTCTGCTGGATGGTTAAAACCAAAATAAAGCAAGACCTATATAACAAAAAATGTAATTTTTGTGTCTGACAAGGTCAGTCGGATCCCCTCAGGATTTACCCTGAAACCCTGTACAGCAGTTTGTAGATCTGTTGTCAGTGTCAGCCATGTGGATGAGTCACGGCCCTTGCTTGACCAATTTGCTCTCTGTGAAAGCCTGAGAGAATGTTTTCTCTCCAGGTGACTCTCCTTAGGCACACTCTACATCATTGATCACTTTCCTCTGTGGCCCCATAATCTCCTTGATCAGAAAATTTGGAACACCACGGAGTTATAGGATGTTACAGTACAGGTTCTCTTATGTCCTGAGTCCTCACTGATCTTGAAGGGCTAGGGCCAAAATGTTGGCTATCTTTGTAGCCCTTCTTTTTGTCTTAATTTTTTGGTCTGCAAACTTAAGTTATTAACCCTCCAGAAGAGAAGCTTAGTGATATTATTACCCTAAAACATAGGCTGTTGAGTTTAACATCAGTATCTGTCTGAATATCAAATGCCTTAGACATACATAACATGGAACAGGTATTTTCCATCAGTTGTTGATATGCTAAACTTTAAATCCATACAGAATGTGAAAAAATAAAATAATTAAAAAACAGGAAAAAAACAATTACAAATTTTTACACAGAAATTTAGAAATCTAACCATATGCAACATTGTAGCAGAGCATTCCTATGACATTTTTTTCTTGTCTTTTGTTTTCATTTATTACCTTTTTTAAAAAAACATTTACTTGAGAGACAGTATAGCAGTAATTGATATGACATTAGTATGCTTTGATGCAGTTAACACTGAAGGTGTCTGTGGTCATGTAAACATGGTCAGCATGGTGAAGACTTTTTCAGATATTTGTTCTTGGAAGATCAGACATTGAATTATTCTTATTAGTTTTGCATCCTTAGGGGACACTACATTGTTTTTTCTTTTTTCTTTTTTTTTTTTTTGGCAGAACCAGGGATTGAACTCAGGCCCTTGTGCTTGCCAGGAAAGCACTTATTCCACTGAGCCATCTCCCCAGCCCCAGGGGAAAATACAGAGCCAGTTTAGAGTCGGCTAGAAAGAAAGGAATGGAAAAGGGTCACAGCAGCCTGAACCTTTCCGAGGACTGTCCTAGAGCATCTTCCCCTGTGTACAGCCTCACAAGTGCAGGCATATTCTTTCTCAGAGCTAGCAGCAGGTAGCAGGCGGCTCCTGGTGGCAGTCTTGAAGCCTCTCCTTGTGTTTGGTTTTGTGCGCACTCTGGCTTCTGTGCATTTTTTGTTCAGCTCTGGCGAAGAGGAGAGAGACCCATTTGAAAGGAGCCTTTGGAGCAAGTAATGCTGGCCTGGTGGTAGAGGACCTGCATAGCATGCACGGGCTGTGGGTTCCGTCCTTAGCACTGCAAAAGAAGATAAGAATAGCATTATGCTCAGTGAGGGGCGTGTGTTTGATTAGTGAGGGTCCCCAGCTTTACTACTGACTGCTGGAGAGCAGCTGTGTCCAGTGGGCTCTGCCCGGAAGGATCCTGTGATGTGCAGTGTGGTGAATTGGTCCTGGGCTACAACAGGCATCTTTATTTTTGTAATAACAGCACCAGTGAGGTGTTTATATGCCATTTGAAACACAGAACTCAGTGGCTTTTAGTGTATTCACCAAGGTGTATATCCATGTCCACAACCAGTTTTGGAATATTTTTGTCACCTGAAGGAGAACCTAGCAGTTTCCCTCAGCCCTTCTGTGCCCAGACCCTGCTCATCACCATGGGCCCTGCCTGTTTCATGCCCTTCATTTCAGCGGATCATCCACCTGGGGCCCTGGTGTCCTGCCCCTCTGCTGAGCACATGTTCTGCAGCGCCGTGGTACACCTGGGTACCACCAGTGCTGTGTGTAGCCTGGCTTGGTGCTTTCCGTGGCCCTTTGTCCTGTGGTATCAGCAGACGGCATGTTTATCTGCTCATCTGTGGGTAGACGACGTTTAGGTTGTTTCTGCTTTGGGCTGGTGTGAATAATCATGTTATGAACATTCACGTGCAAAGTTTTGTGTGAACATGTTTTCATTTCTCAAGTGTACAAGTAGAAGTGGCATCCCCGAATCCTGTGGCCACTTGGTTGTAGAGTGGACAAGGGTTCCACTTGCATTCAGCACTTGGAGAGGAAGGGAATGGGGAGGAAAGACAAGGTCCTAATGATAATATCCGTTACTATTGTTTCTTTATTTTTTTTTAGAAGGAAGAGATTGTTGTGACTCTCTTACCAGCTGGTCACTGCCCAGGATCAGTTATGTAAGGGGGCTCATCTATTTTGCTGTTTTATATATAAATGTGTATCATATTTGTAGAAATACATTTTTAGGGGCTGGAAAATAACACACGTGGGAGATGTGACTCTTTCTGGCATTGTCTTGAATTTTTGCTTCCAAGTGGAATGTGGGGGACTGAGCTGAGGATCAGGCTCTTGTAGTTGTCTTCAGTGGCTGATTTCTCATGACTTCGCACTGTCTGTCACTTGTATTTCTGTCTCCATAAGCAGAAATGAGCTCAACATGTGATTCTGAGTGCTTTTGTATTATGGGACACACACATCCAAAGTCACCATAGCGGCTTTCTGTTATTCCTACTCCAGGGAAAAGGTGGCAGTTAAGTGCTGGGGTGGACTTAGAGCTGGTGAAGTTCCACTAACAGTGTAAGGGGTGTGTTCAGCAAGACACACTTGCTGGCAGTTAGCAAACATTTGCCTCTTTAGGGCTTATCTGAGACCTAAAAGTCACTAGGGTTTATTTTCTTTCTAGGTTCTTATTTCAGGGTAATAATGGAACTGTCTTGTACACAGGAGACTTCAGATTGGCCAAAGGAGAAGCTGCCAGGATGGAGCTTCTGCACTCTGGGGGCAGGTATGGGACCTCATATAATTCTGAAATCATATAAAGTTGGGCCACTTGTTTTATGAAGTGTTACTGGGGCTGGGTGTGGGGGCACATACCTGTGACCCCACTACTCTGAGAAGCTGAGGCAGGAGGATAATGAATTTGAGCTCAAGTTGGACAACTTAGTGACTTGATGAGCGACTGTCTCAAAATAAAAAATGGAAAAAGTGTGTGTGGGGGTGTATCAGTGCACAGCTCTTGGGTTTAATCCCTAGTACTGAAAAAAGGTACGATTGCTGTTTTCCCACTGAGTGCAAGCCTTTGTTTCTAATAGAAATCAAACTTGATTATAATAATACTGGTAAACTTTTCCTCCTCCAGGTAGAGAAATGGGAAGTTCTATGTGTTGATTCAGGGAGTAGATCCAGAGTCACTGGATCATTCATGTATAATCTCTATTCTGTGGAAATTATTTCTAAAGAAAGCTGATGAACAAAATGAATGAAAATATCCAAGTGGAGTGGAGCACCCTGTAAAGTAACAGAGTGTACATTTCACAGGTGCTCGATGTTACTCTAGATGCCTGACACCAACCTTCTTTTTCAGGGTAAGGGACATCCAGAGTGTATATTTAGATACTACTTTCTGCGACCCAAGATTTTATCAGATTCCCAGTCGGGTAGGTCTCCTGGGAAAGCGGGTGACCATGGGGGTGGCTGGTGCCTGGCCAGAGGTGTGTATGTGACACATGGGTCATTGCTGTCATCCCTGGTTGGAAACCTGAGGAGGTTGGGGAGCAAAAGGGTAAGGGAGGGTTCTTAAAAGTATTAAATGTCTTTTAAAAATCCCACCTAGGGGGAGTGTTTAAGTGGCATTTTAGAGTTGGTTCGGAGCTGGATCACGCGGAGTCCCTATCACGTGGTGTGGCTGAACTGCAAAGCTGCTTATGGCTATGCATATCTATTCACCAACCTGAGCGAGGAGCTGGGAGTCCAGGTACTATGCTGTGGACCTCTCTGGCCTTCCCACCCGCCCATCCCACCTCCCCGTCCTCTGCAGCCCAGCTTGTCTGGTGGTTCAGCTGAAGTCCTCTACCCCTTTCCTTCGTTAATGTTCCCTCCTACTTTCATGTCATCTCTCTCTTTTTTTTTTTTT